TAATCTACATGGATGCAAAATAAGCAGAAAATAGTCATGTTTACCACTTTTTATTGTGCTCAAGCCTATAAAGTACAGCACATTTTAAAAGTATGATTACATGTTTAACTTTATTACAAACTTTGACATTTAAATGTTTTTAAAAATGTGTTTCTATTTGTAACCCAAGGGTGGGTTTTCTGGCTCAACATTCACAGTGACCGTGACATTGGTGCAGTATTTGTTGCTTTTGGCCGGTTTTGCAGGTTCTAAATCCTGATGGAATATTAACATGACATATCCCTGAATCATGTAAGCAGAGTGAAGCATGAAATGTGTATAGATTTATGGTAGACTGCTAAAAAAAAAAAAAAAAAAAATGCACATTACAGTAGTGTGGCTCTGCAAGCCGGATTCTGCTGATCTTTTTTTGGAGAAGTTTCTTTTGTTGATCCAGAGTTTCCTTTCTATTATTATTTTTTTCTTTTTTGCCTCTGGTGTCTAATACTATGTAATTGGATTTTTGCAGGTTTTTCTATAATCCATCACCATAGCAACCATTGCAGTTTGGCTTTGTTTTACACCCAATAGTAGTTCATCAACATCTCTCAATCTGAAATAATACACTAACTGCTTACTAAAGTATCAACCTAGTTAAAAAGTATGCACTGATACGGGCTAGGAGCAAGGACAAGAGAGAGGAGATGGAAATTCCTGCTGTCTATTCAATAAATCAGAATAGACTGTGTGAAATCTTTAGAAAACAGGTTAAAAGAAATTAAAGCCCAAGCAAGAAACCATTACACCACATTCCATATTGGGAGAGCAGTGTAATGTGTTTCACTGAAACATGGCTTAATGATCATATGCCAGACTTGAGTATTTATTTCTGTCAGGCTTTCTGACCATGTGATGAGACAGAGAAGCATCCTGGGCCTCCATAACACCTCAGCAGTGCTACAGGCTGATTGCCTCCATGCCACGCTGCATTGAAGCAGTCATTTCTGCAAAACGATTCCCGACCAAGTATTGAGTGCATAACTGTACATAATTATTTGAAGGTTGACTTTTTTTGTATTTGTAAGGGCAAACCCTTAATCAACAGTGATATGAAGGTACTGCAAAACAAGAAAAAAGAGCCTTCAGGAAGGGAGAAAGGGAGTTATTGAGGAACATACAGAAGCGACTTGAGGTCATGAAAAAAGAAACTTAGATGGTATATACTGTAGGAAGAAGATGAAACGAAAGCTTTAACAGAACAATATCAGACGTGTAGCGAGGGATGAAGAAGATTGCAGGCTTTAAGTAGAAGGAGGATCAAAGAAGTCTGGACAGAGCAATGAACTAAATATATTTTAAAACGGGTTCATTTCAAGAACAAGCTCAGCATTCTTATCTCCTGCTCACAATCAAATGTAAATCCCGCCCTCTTTCGATCTGAAGTATCTCTGTCACTCCTCAAATATTTCATCTTCCAAAGTGGATCCTCTAGCTTTTATGTATTTGTTCTCTGCCATTCAGTAGACGGTGCTGCTCCCTCCCCACTTATATCTGTCTCTAAAAATCATCTGGAAAAATTAAATCACCATTAGTATCCAAGTCCAGATGGTGTCACCCCGTGAGTCTTGAAGACCTGTGCAGAGGAGCTCTGGGGGGTTCCACAGCTCCTCTTCAACCTTAGCCAAGACCCAATGTTGTGGACGACTTCCTGCGTCATTCCAGCACCAAATAAAACTCAACCAACATTCCTCAATGACAGAGACTGTACTTCTTAAGGAGGCTTAGGTCCTTCAGTATTTGCAGCAAGATGCTGCATATCCTCTGAAAACCTGTTGAGGAGAGGGTGATCTCTTCCGCCATCATCTGGCAGGGTAACCACATCAGAGCAAGTAACTAAAAACAGCCCAACAAGCTGATAAAAAGGGTCTGCTCTGCTCTTGGAAATCCTCTAGAACATCTAGAGGGGATTTCACAAATATGATTTCTTTTTAAAATGAAGAACATTATGGAAAAAATGAGCATCCTCTTAGACAACTTTTATTGTCATTGTGTATACAGAGAGTGTATACAAAATGAAATTTCATTTTGTACAGCTTTCATGACATTTCCATTTTCATTTCTTAAAGTGCAGCAATGATCAAATGTAAACAATGTGGGAGATGGGAGTTGGGGAAGTTCAGAGAATTAAATATTTGTAGTCCAATTATGCAGTGTTTTGGTTTGGTGTTCACTAGAACCTGCCGTGCTGAACATATCCTACACCATGCATGTCTGATCTTACACTCTTTCCAGCTCTTTCCAGCAGACTGAAACACAAACCTTGTAACGGACATTGCAAAAGTTGAAATATAAATAAATGTTTTTCTTAAAATAAGTGCATTTTTTCTTGAATTGAGGAGGTAATTCCATTTGCCAATAGAAAAAGACAATTTACATTTAAAATAAGAAAAAGAAATTGCATTGTCTTATTTCAAGTGCATATTATCTAATTTTTCTATTCTATAGGCAAATCATCTTATTCACTTACTCAAATTAAGGATAAATAATTTTACTTATTTCTAGATAGTTTTTGCAGTGGCAGACAATCTCAACATTGTTAGTGGTGATTTTAACTGTTGAACAGATGGATTCCCAAAAAACAGCATATTAGATCATGCACCAGAAATAAAAACACACTGGACCACTGTGACAGTCTTTAAAGGATCATACCATGCAGCTTCATGACTTGTTGATCTGTCTGCTTCATCCCGTTTCAATTTAAGCCTGAAAACCTCTAAGCCTGAGGTTAGAACTGTGACCAGAGCAGTCAGATTAGAGGTTACAGTCCTGCTTTAGCTGCAAAGACTGAAATGATTAAAAGTTTCACACGCTAAAATAAATTTTCTTTTTTAGTTTTGTAAGGAAATGCATGTGTACAAACAAACCAAGACCATTCCCACACATAACAATAGACAAACATGGTCTTCACACATTAACACCATGCTAGTTAAGATCCACCACAGACTGCTCTTCTTGCTAAACTCAAGATGTAAAAGCCTCTTGAAAAGATGCTGATCATCTCTTTTTTTCGTATCCACCATGGCTGCACCTGAAGACAGAAGGACCATAGAGTACGTTCTGACCAGCTGTCTCACTGTGTGGTGTGGAGGCTGCAGAGCCTCAGACTGGAAAATAGTGGTGAGAACAGCAGAGATCATTGGGGCTCCTCTTCCCTCCATTAAAGACATTTCATCGCAGCGCTCCATATCCTGAGCTCGTAACATCATCAATGACCCCTCACACCCCCACCATGGACTGTTCTCCCTGCTGCCCTCTGAGAAGAGGCTTCACAGCATCCGATGCAGGTCCAGCAGATTCTACAACAGCCTCTTCACCACTGCCATTTGACTGCTGAACTGTTGAAAAAACTCTAAACCATGTCACAGACTCTGCATGACACTGATAACACAAAACCAAAATACTGCATAATTGCACCATACAGTATATATTAATGCCCTGAACTTCCATATTATTGCATTTTTGTACCATGTTTTTCTTTTTCTTTTCTCCTATACTGTTTACATTTGATCACTGCTGCACTCTATGGAATGGAAATGTTCATTTATTGTCTGAAAGCTTTACTAATCAAAATTACTTTTTATATACACTCTTTCTATACAAAATGACAATAAAAGTTGTCTAAGTCTAAAAAAACATTCACTTTTCTGTTTTCAGTTACTCTGCTATGAAACTAATAAAAATAAACACGTTTCCACTCTCTCAACCTGTCTTCTTATAATAAAAAAGAAAAAAAAGTCTTTCGAAAGTTGCAATTATACTTAGGTATTTTGGCTTATGAGACTAATTTGTATTGGTTTGCCCTATTAAAAATAGAGATTGGGTAAAAAAAACACTGCCAAATTAGATAGGTCGGTTTAGCCAAGAGATTGGTTGAACACATAACTTGCAACCCGATTAAAACCAAAAACTGTGGAAAAACTATTATGTTTGAATAAAAATGAATAAAACCTTTCATTTTGCTCATCATTGCCCCATTTGCACAAACACTTTCACTGTCTGCTTGAGTTTATTTCACTAAAATGTCAGAAAAACTGTGCACATTAAATTATTGCTCTCTTCTAAGACATTTTACACACAAAAATTAACTTACAAAAGATTTTATTATACACACCAATCATGAACAATTTCAAAGGAGCTTAAAAGGGGAAGAAATGAGAAAAACATCCATTATCTGACACGCTTTATCCCAAGTGGGTGCTGGTGCCTATCTCCAGCTGTCTACGGGCGAGAGGCAGGGTACACACTGATCAGGTCACCAGTCCATCGCAGTGCAACACAAACAGGAAAAACAACCATTCACACACACACACTTACACCTAAGGAGAATTTAGAGAAGCCAATTAACCTAACAGTCATGTTTTTGGACTGTGGGAGGAAGCCGGAGTACCCGGAGAGAACCCACGCATGCACAGGGAGAACATGCAAACTCCATGTAGAAAGATTCCGGGCCGGGAATCAAACCTGGAACCTTCTTGCTGCAAGGCGGCAGTGCTACCCACTCCACCACTGAGCAGCAAAAGAAAGACAAATGTTAAAAAAAATCTGATTTTATTACAAACTGTAGTTCTACTTTCCACCAGTAGATGGCGACATGTTCACGAGGCTTCATGAACTGTGGGGATTGTTGAAGCAATTTGGCCAAATGGTTCAATGCCTCATAAGGCCTCATTTTACAATCACTAATTCAAGGTTATACTAATTATAACTGGCTGACATACATGCACCAGTAGGTTCATTCAAATAAAAATATAATTACAGATTTTAGATATATATATTTTTTTAGTTCAGTAAAAAATAAAATTAAATAATGAGGTAAAAATAAATTCATTTTTCTATTTTCGTTTCCTGTGATAATTCAACATCCAATATGACCTGGTGATTTCTTTTTTGGCGCTGTGGCCTGTTCACGATGTTGAGTTCGTGGACCTACGGAGGCTCTTGAGGCTCGCTCATTGGTCCCGCACACCTTCAGCAAATTAGGACTAATTAGCTTCTAGCAGATTTCATTAAAACATGGCTCTCTACTTCAGCCCGGGGTCGTTATTGTGACATTTCTTTTAGGCTGTCTGTCCACATCATGGCGTTTTCCCTGGTGAGTTAAAAAAACGGAACTGAAGCAGGTTTCAAATAAATGTATATGCTAAAGTTTCTATGCTAAATAAACATGCTAAAGTTACTAGCTTTGATTTGCCGCCATATTAATTCATGGCGACGGCAATAAATTAACTAAAGACACTTCAGGTTGAGCCTTATTTCTTGTTTTTGAAAAGTTATTAGTGTTTAGCACTGATTCGGGGGTATTTTATTGGCTCTATGTTGCTTGTTCCGTCAGAGAAACGATGCCCGCCGCCCTGAGAGCCCAGACATGGACTCTCCGGCCCTCTCCACCTGCAGCAACGCTGACATCTTCCGGAGGATGAACAACATGCTGGGCAATGCGCTGGACTTCACCGGTGTGTGCACCACACCCAACAGCACCAAACACAAAGACTGTGGTAAAGTCCCCCCCTACTCAAAAACTGCTTTAGTTTTATACTTTTTATTGTTTAGAGTCTAGATGTATTTTTTCTTGTGCAGAAACGAACGAAAAATTATTTTTTTCTTGGACAAATGTTTTTTTTTTTTTTTTTTTTTTTTTTTTTTATATTAAGCTATTAGCATTAACATGAAAAATACTCAGACAAGGGTGTAACTTTGTGATGAAAGTTGGTGGGGACACTAAGGGTGGTTATTATTCATTACATTTTTATTATATTTTCCAAAAAATGAGCTCAAACATGTATTTATTGAATGTTTTCCTATTGTTGAGAACACAAGAGAATCATAATACACTGATATTTATATTTATAGATGTTGGAGAGATGCCCTTTCTGATTCAGATGCCAAAATCGATATATCATGCATCCCTAGAAGTACAATTTCAATTCCATCCTCCAGAAAAATATGGATATGCTTCATTTTAAATATAGCATAGCATTTTTTTTTCTTGTAAACTTTGTGGTAAACTTGGAGATATTTTATTGCATGTGGCATATCTCAGGAAATCTGTTTCACCTTAAAATCTGCAGCTCTCCCCACTTCTCTCTGTCTAAAAAGATCAATTAACCTTTTTACTAATATAATGATGCCAGAGACAAAGTTTGCAGATGTGTAGAAGCTCTGCAGTCTGATTCTGTCTGTACAATAAAGTGTTAATTTTAACCTGTAACTGAGTCATGGTCATCTGAGAAGCTGAGCTTTTTTAACTAGTAAAGAAGAACAAACTATATATTCTCAAGCTTCTTGCGTTATAATAGTAACTTGTATAAATGTACAATCTGTTGCCATATCTAGCTAAAAAAGCTTTGTATGTCAGATATTTCAGTGGTATGATCTTAAGTTTTTTAACCAACTCGTCTCCTAACTCTTAAACATCGAAGGAGTTGCTGGTTGATGTTCACGGAGTGTTGCTGTGTGTTTCTCCAACCATGTAGCTTCTCTGCAGTGAAATGCGAACGCAAAGCAGATGCTTCAAAGCGACAGTTCTGACGATGTTGCACCATGATGAGGGACATGGGAGCAGCGCACAAGGGGGGGGGAAAGCAGACTGAAAACGGATGGCTGCACCCAACCTCTGTTACCTTTGGCTGAAGTAAATGAGCAGAAAGGGGGGGGTGGAGATTATTGGTTTGGACATGTCCACACTAGTCCTTCAGATAAATTAATTGATTAAACCAATGAAAGGAAGGTTTAGCATAGTGGATATATTATTTACCCAATGGAAGGATGATATTAATGGTTTCAGGAACGGGCAAGTCCTCGGGTGCTTTTTCACGGTGAAAAGGAGTTAATTTTATCATTATCTAAAGATGACTAAAGCAGTTTTGTCATCATAACGAGATGATTGGTGTGCATTAAAACTGATTACGTCCTTCAATATGACAAAAGCAGGAGAGGATTTAGAAGTCATGGAAGCCTATATGTAATTCTGTAAATAATCCCATGTTTAATTTTTGGTAATGAGACAATGTTTTTTGATTTGCCTCACACGCGTACCGCAACTGCACAACTACGGACACTGCAGGCATGGATGAACTGGGAATTCAGGGATGTTGGCCAGCCACACTCGTTATTCATACAGTCCAAAAAATTTAAAGTTAAAAAAACAAACCACTGGACTTTGTTTTCCCAAGTTTGAAGACGTTTCACATCCCATCCAGGAAGCTTTTTCAATTCAAAATGTCTGAATTGGCATCGAGTTACAGGCTTTTATGGAGTAGCCCAACAAAGCCTTCTAATGGCTTAGAAAACGTGCACATTGAAACTGGAAAACCAGCTCCACCCTGTAATAACGACCTAACAACTCCCATTATTAAGGGGTGGAGCTTGTTTCCATTCTTCATGTGCATGAACTGCGGAGCTGAGTCTGATGTGGTTTTTAGTCATGTGAGCAGGTAGACTGCATCAGAGCGTCGGGCCGAACATAAATCGTGAGCTGTGAGCAGTAGCTGTGTGCAGCGACTGGGAAAATTGCACAGTGTACACCCAGCTTAAGTGGCCTCCTTTTACTCCCCTGCTCTCCTAAAGACTTATAAGTGTACAGTTAACATGTTGGTTGCCAGTGCGTTCAATTAGGATTTGCAAACACTTGACTTGCCTGTCCAAAAGGATGTGGTAACTTCTCCATTGCTTCTTGAAATCTTTTTGCTTCAAGTTGACACAAACTTTCCAAAGCTGAGCTTGATCTTCACTTTTACTGGCTTCTTAAAAAAGGTAATATTTTATTGTCTCATTGAAAACGTTTAAGCTTTGACCTTTAAATTTGATAACCTTCCAACTACTAAAACAAAAGCAATTGTATATGGATTCAAATTTATTTTCTGAACACTTTCGAATGTAGAATAGCGCCAAACTTAATTATTTTTATTTCATGAGGAGTTGCCTAATTTTTTTTTTTCCCCCAAAGGTTGTTGCTGCCAATACAAAATATAGGATGCATGCATTTTGTAAAAATGTATCCCAATGATTATATTTGATAGTTGCTTACAATTGACTAACAGAAGTTTAAAAGGAAGAATTTAGAATCCGTCATTTGTAACTGAGCACAAACCTAAATTCAGGGATTGCTGTCGAGTCATTGAGTCGACAGCAATCAGCTGGTGTTCATTAGATGGAAAACTTTGGACCAAACTATGATCTGGTTGAATTGTCTCTGTAGCTAAAGTGCCTTGAGATGACGGGTGTTGTGAATTTGTGCTATATAAACTGAATTGAACTATAAACATCAAATGAAAAACTGAATTAAGTTTCACTTTGTCACTTCTAGTGTAAAAACAGATGACGTTGCCAACAGCTGATTCATGCTGAATCACTGATCTGCAGCACTGCAGCAGTATTTTCTCCTCCCATGGAGAAGTATGTGCCAAGCAAGAAGTTTATTGTGGTTCATATTTTATAAACTTAAAAACAGTGTCTGCGCTCAATGCATTGTTACTCTGGTTTTCTAAAGCTTAGAGGGTTGCATGTGTTTTTTTTTTTTTTTTAAGTACCTTATGTGAGTAAATTAGGTTGTGGTGCAAATGGAGCTAAATTCCTTTTATTGGCTCCAGGCCCGTGCATCTGAGCCCTCTTGCTGAATCAGGGGGAGCAACGGGCAGCTGGATGCTTTCCAGTAGTGGGGAGGGAGGGGAGGAGCTGGCAGCGCATGTCTGCACCATCCTGAACATCTGATCAGTCAGCTGCTTCTGATGCAACCAGCCTTTCCATAGCTTTTACTTTTTTCTTTTGCCTCTTATGAGGAAAACTCATTAAACTGATAGAAGGAAGAGAGGGAAAAATCCCTGGGCATCTAGAACGTTTGGTACTTCGGTTCTAAAGTTTGCTGAGTCACTCACTCAGCGCTGCCTCCCTCCCCTCCTGCCTCTGACTAGAACAAGTAAGCGGCAGCAGCGACGGCACTGGCAGCTGTTGCCTTGCCTCCTCCAAGGCGAGTACTTCAATCTACAAACCAATAGCTGTGACTGGGATTTCTAATTACACAGTTGTTAAGCAGGGAAGGTGGAGGAGGGTGAAGCTGATGTCATTAGAAGGGGTGTGCGAGTGCATCAACAGCCATGTCACATGCTGCTAGTGATGCGGATGGAGATGCATGGCATGCACAGAGGCAGCAAGTTAGCTCTGCCACTATCCAGGGTAGGGGAGGCGTGATAAGGGAAGTTTGTTTTTAGTTTCTCTTCTTGATCTGTCCTTTTTTCCTTTCCTTTTTGAAGCAGACTGACCTTTCCGCTAAGGCTTCTTTCTTCTTCTCTTGTTTGCTAACTGGATCTCCGATCTAAAGAGTCGGAGCTGGCTGCTGTGGGCAGCAGGAGGATGCTTTTTCCCAATTGTGGCAGCATACCCAGCTCCCAGGACATCCCCATATCCCGGGGCTCTTCGGATGTCTCAGACCTCGGCCTTGGACTGCAGTCGCTCCGGCTGTCCAGCTGGGATAGACCGTGGAGCAGCCAGGAGGCGGACTCTCATTCTCCATCAGCCCAGGTTCAGAGCAGCTCTAACTCCAGTAAGTGCCCGATGTTTTCCGCAGATTTGGTTTCCTCAAACTTGATGCACATTTTTTTTATTTTGTGCACAGTAATACTTGTCATGGTTCTGTGTGAGGCAGCAAGCTGGGGCATTGCTAAGGATGATGAGGCAGTTTTGCTTTGCTGCGTCTGTAGCAAGCATATTTTCAAACAAGCCCATCAAGCTGTTTTCATTTTGATCACCTCAGTGATGTTAATATATATATATTGAACTTGATTACCTGTTAGCCATACTTAAAATGTGGTGTTTGGATATTTAGTGGACTCTCAAAGTTCTAAGGGTGGATGTTAATGAACGATAAACACCTCTGAGGTAATGATTATCTTTACTTTCATAGCTTCAAGAGCCGGATGTTGAATCAGAGCTGCTTGACCCATTAGAGAGGTCAAACTGGGCCTGTAACGATGAATGGTACCTACAGCTCGGTCTCCTTGGTAACAAGCCATAAAATCAGCTCTGGCCAACTGTGGCACAGGAGCAGTCTCATTTAACTGGTCTGCTGTTGGAAGAAATCTGGCATTTACATTTTTAGCTTTTCTATTTCAGAAATGGACTTGGAAACAAATTGTGAAGTTTTCAGTGTTTAGAACAAAGTGGCTACGATGACGATCTGTAGGTTTATTAGTGCTTTTTAAATGTAGTTCTTAAGTATCTGCTGTTCTAAATCAAAATGGAACTTTGAATTCAGCACACCTGCCTTTTTAATTCATTTGCAAAATACATTAAGGGAGGAAAGATGCAACTTTTGGAAACGACTGCAGCTTGCTTGCTGACGAATCAATACTGCTCTGTAGAGTCAGCATGCATGTCCCATTTTCTTCAGATTGCACTGCTTGCAAATAAATATCTACACACTAGCTTTCTTGGTAACGCTGTAAATGTTTCCTCTACCAGTGCTGGGCATGTTGAACAATCCTTTCAGTAGCATCCTCGGGAAGCCTCCAGGCTATCTGCCCCAAGAGTCCCTGAGCATGACTGCTGACTTTCTGGAGAAGTTCCCGGGAATGGCCCGCATGGCAAACCGACTGGACTCCAGCTCCTTTTTGGACTCTCGCTCCAGCAGTCCCCAAGACTCTGAGACCAGTGGGTTTAGCTCTGGATCAGATCACCTCTGTGACATGCTGGTAAGACCTGGGATTTTTTCGACAGAGTTAAATTTGTTGCTTAAATTTGCTCAAAGGGGTGAAAAAGATTTGATCAGAAAGCGATTTATAGAACAAATGCACAAACAGGATTTAAGGTTTGAAGGAAGCAATTTCCTATATTGTTTTCATGCTGCTGATATTTTCATTTTGGACCTTACGCTTTGTTTTAATGTTGAAGCTTCCTCTTTAAATCTCACCTTCAGTAGTAGAATGAGTGTTCCTGAAAAATATTTTCATGAAGGATTTGGGTTGAAAGACAGACTTGTGTCAATGCTGCAGTTACCTCATTATCTTCCATATTTCATCATTTGAATAAATGAGTCCCTGAGCTTAAACCTTAATGTTCTCAGCAGGAAGGTTGTCCTTCCTTTTTAAACAGCAGAGGTTTGACTTCAGTCTTTGACATATTGGCAGAATAATTGCTGCCAAAGCACAACCAGAATTGCTGACTGCACTCAGGGGACCTCTTCTTTGGAGATTCTTTGGGGGAGGAAATAAGCTTAGCGGTAATTTGACTTTATATAAGAGGTGCGCAATTCCAGCTCCTGAGGGCCGGTATCTTGCATCTTTTTGAGCTGCCTTTAGTTCAACACACCTGAATCAAATAATTAGATGATTGAGAGGACTCTGAAGGAACTGACTACATGGTGAGGAGGTATCTCAGTCATTTGATTTAGGTGTTGGACCAAGGATGAATCTAAAAGTTACAGGGTACCAGCCCCCAGGAACTGGAATGTCCACCCCTGCTTTAAATGAGTCGGAGCCAAGTTTGCATGATGTATAATGGCTTAAATAGTTATAAACTTCAACTGTCAAAGCTTTATAAATTGTTCAGGTTTATAACTGATCCCCTCTGAAATGAAAATCAGTCTAGGTGAAGAAATGAGGTCGGTGCAAAAAAAAATGCTTAAGCTGTCACAATACTTAAGAAATTGATTTTCCTATCATTTTAAAGCTTACAACAAAGCTGTTGAATTAAACTGGATGGCTGTAATTTAGGAAGCCGTTTTCTCACACATCTAAGATGTTAATCTGCCAAATTGATCGATGGCAGTCGTCTAATCTTGATCCGATCGTCTGTAAATGTTCTGGATGTCCTTCTCTGCAGTCAACTTTGCGAATTTCTCCTCCACTGCCTTATGTGACGTCCAACAAGCAGAAGGACCTGCTGCGGCTGGGCTCAAGACTGGAACCCCAGGACACGAGCTCTCCTCTCACTCCACCGCCCAGTGCCAGCCCCTCCTCTTCAACAATTTCCCGCCGCTGGCGCACCGGCTCCCCATGGCCAGGCTCAGACGTACTGGACCAGTCAGATGACACGTTCAGCATCGAGAGGGAGGCCCGTCTGCACCGGCAGGCTGCAGGTTTTTATCACTGCCCTGTGTGCTTTAAATATTCAATCAGACCTTGTTGCATAGCCATATTTCTTTGCACATCAGCTGTGAATGAGGCCACGTTCACCTGGAGTGGTCAGCTGCCTCCCAGAAACAACAAGGATCCCATTTACTCCTGTAAGGTCTTTCTTGGTGGCGTGCCATGGGACATCACTGAAGGTTTGTCTTTACTTGAAAGTTAACCCTTATATTTGCCTATATTTTTCTAAAATTTCCATATTCTGTTGGGGTAACGGCTGCAGTAGGATTGTTAATCTTTGAACAGTTTACAGTAGCCTAACAGAGCTATAGTTGTACTAACATTAAACTAGATGAGCAGTCTGAGTGCCAATTTAATGTGTTCATAATTCACCTAAAACATCTTATTTGCAGGGGCAATTATTATATATAAAGTTTTTATGTACATGATCATTTCGATATTGAGGTGAAACCGGATGTAAATGAGATATTTTGTTCCGCCTCGCACAGTAAAGCATTTTCTCCTTAATGCCGTCTTGCTTTCAGCTGGCCTGATCACCACCTTCAGTGGTTATGGCCCTCTGACTGTGGAGTGGCCAGGTAAGGATGGAAAGCACCCTCGCTGCCCTCCTAAAGGTAATGTGGCTAAAGGTAATGACAGACTGGTAGGCTCATTTTAATTCCTTCTCCTGGTCTTAAGGTGGACACAGGTGGTGAGCGCACTGCATGCTAGTCGGTTTGCTGGTTGGTCTTAAGCCGGGCATACACTGTGCGATATTTTCAATCGTTACGTGCAGTTACAGCTCAAACTGTATGACGAAATGGTTTGGTTTAAAAGTTCACAGCTCACGATGAATATTCTCACACTTTGCGACCCGATGCTATGATACGATCTACCTGCTCACACTGTAGGTCTTAAAAACTGGGTCGGACTGAGCACCGAGAGATGGCGCTGGTTGGACTCTTCTATATGGAAGAGGAACTCCCTTGTTTGACATGCACAGTGCTCGAGGTTCTGGTAAATCAGCTCCTAGCTCTGCTTCAACAGCAGGATTTGTCCACGAACACCTCACGACACCCAACTGAATTTGAAACGTGTTTGATTTTTCTTCAGATTCCTGATCAGGAGGGGGTCGTGAGAGGATGATTGCCCCTCATTGCCCCCTGTAAACTACACTACGTACAATCAGGCTGAAACTCGGCCTGAACGAAAAATTCTGGAGAATCTGCCTGAAAAGGGCAAAATCGTACAGTGTATGCCCGGCTTTAGACACACCTACATGGGTGGTGAGCTGAGTAGGATTCTCATGAAGTTAATCCAGTTGATAAAACCACTTCAGATTATCACAATGGATGGTTATAAAATTGTACCCTTAGCTTTAAATTCTAAGGACTGTTTAAAGGGGCAAAAACGATGGGAGCTCTTTCTGTTTTCTGCTTGGTTTTTTTTTTTTTTTTTTTTTTTCCTAATAAGAATGAGCACAGCTTTTTATTTAACTCTGGATTACAAAATGGGTAGTAAATTTAACTTAACTTTTGTTAAAGTGGTGCTACTAAATACAACCCTTCCTTAAAATTGATTTAGTCATTTATTCACCCCATTCACTGTGGAAGACTCAATAATTGATAAAACAAAATATTCAGTTTGACTTCAGCTAAAAAAATGAAATACTTGAAATGTTTTTTTTACTTTTACCTCTTGTTTTTAATGACTTTGTCTTGCCAATTATCTCTCCTATAAAAGCATAATGCTTTATAAGATGGTGTTTTACCATTTTGCCTATGAATACAGTTTGATTTCTATTCAAGGAACCTTTCTTCCAAATGTTTAAGAAAAGTCTGGCATTGGTCTTATTGTCGTATTGACAGTAATGATAAATCCTTAACATTACTCATCTTTAGAAGACTTTTGTCACCAAGGTTCCTGTTGATGTTGGACAATTTATTGCATCTGCAGGATAAATGCAATTTTGGAAAAAATGCAATTTTCAAATCTGAAAGGGTGTAGTTTTTTCTTTAGCCCTTTAGTTGGCAGTAATCTTGGTCTTATTGTCCCAGCTAGTACATGTGAACTAGAAGTAAACCCTATTCCATCTTACAGTAAAGGAATAAATGTGCTTTTGTTCAAAGCTGATTAACTTGAGGGCATGAAAATGAAAATCCAGCTAAAAATGTATCTCCTAGTGATCCTTTGTGGCATTGATGATGCAGCTTAATTTTAAGAAAAAATAGAATTTTTGCCCCTTTTTTTTAATATTTTTTTTTGTTCAAGATTATGTATCCAATTTTTGTGAAACTTTTTCAGTTAACGTCTAATTTGCTCATTTAGTTTTTGGCCTGCTAAAACCCTGTACACCAGTGGTTCCTAATACCCTTTGTCTTATGCTAATTACAGGAACTATCTTTGTATAGATTTGGCAAAAAAAATTGACTCGGATGGAAGAAATTGGTAATTGTTCGGAAGTGGAAATCTATCCAGTTTAGATGCCAAAGAAGCTACAGCAAATCTAAAATGTTCTAACACTGTTGGGGGGGGTGAACCCAGAGTTTCAGACGTGCAACACTGTTTTAAAAATTCATGACCAAAATGCTTGAAACTAATAGATCAGAAGAAGCGTAGGATCAAAGTGCATCAAATAACATGTTTAATTAAAAAAAAAGTCTGTTTTGTAAAATGGACAACCGTTTCCTTTTTAAAAAGATATAAATCCCCAATTTAGTCAACTAATGCTGCTTTGTCTTCTAGGATACGTTTACCTGGTATTTGAAAACGAGAAGTCTGTGAGGGCTCTGCTGCAGGCCTGCTCCAAGGATCCCTTCCACCCAGAGGACAACCGGGAGTACTACTTCAAGATGTCCAGCCGCAGAATGCGATGCAAAGATGTGAGTAGAGGCACAGCAAGTCATTCTGCTACTTTGGATTGTCGCAGTCTGAGTTAATCCCACTCTTTAAAGAAAAAGGAAGCTTTAACTATTGGCTCTAGCTGGTTGCACCAAAGCTGAATGTTTTATGCAAAGCCCTAATTGAAGAAACCATGCAGATTTTAAGCCTAGTTTGCTCTGGTTTGATGTGTTTGTACAGAAGGTAAATCATGTTTTCCTCGATCTTGACAGGCCTGATGCAACACTTCGAACTTTCTTCCACAGAAGCGCATTTATTAAACCGCTTTAAAGCCTGAATTTTGCTCAGAATCATTAATTGCTCTGCTGTTCAAGAAAGATCGTTTTGACATCTTTCTCACCCAGAGGAAGCCTTAGATCTGGTGGTTTATCAATGTTTAAATGCATGATCCTCTGTAAAGATAATTTAAGTTAAATGTTTTCCTCTGAGTGGGCGCTAAGCTTCTACAGCAGCGAGGCCCTATAATTAAACATCCTGGTGATGAAAAGGATGTATTCATGATTGAAAACTTCTTACCAAATGCTGCATCCAAAGCAATGCTTTATAATTGTGCACACTAGCGTGTCATGGACTAAATATCATCTTCATATTAATAAGTGTAAAGCCCTGATACTTGACTGAGCAGTCAAGTTTTGGAAAAACTGCTAACCTTGGAGGTGGCTGGATTTGGCCCCTCTGCTGAATTAAAGTAATAAACCTTTCATTTGAAAGCTGTTTTGGATTGCCCAAATATATGAAATTTAAAAACTGAAGGCGTTCGTAATTGATTAACTTTAATATTAATAAACATATTCTCAAATTTATTTACAATAGATTGTTCTACTGTGGAATAATGTAGGCATGGGAAAACAAGATTACAACATTACTACCCCCTTTAAAGTACCTCACTCTTAAAACATGTGAAATTGAGCTGCAGGTTATTAAAAAATCCCCTTTTCCATCTGAAGATAAATGGCTAAGATGGCATCAATGTTTATAACACAATTACACTACTAGAAAGCAGATTTATGGATGACTGGTCAGGTCTAATGTTGGCGAGGTCTTCTGTACAATGCTTTTCTAAAATAAGCACGTCTCATTTAGATATAATCCATATTTTACTCTTGACTAATGTTTGATTAAATAAAAGATAAAATCTTGCTTATTGAGAACATGACCATAACTGAAGGCCTCATATGCTGGTCCTCAATTTATTCCAGAAGAATGAAGAAAAATGGCTTTTTATCATTTGGGGGAGCGGGGCAGCCCATCAAAATCTGTAAAACGACAATCAACATGCGCAGTTTTCTGAAGAACACAGCCTTGTTTGTGGAGATCAAAACGCCAAAGTTTACAAAAAGGTACGTTTACCAAAATCCCTAACATAAAGTGAACAAATTTTTGGTGAAATATCGGTAAATTAAACTTTTTGCAAAAGCAGTTGGGAAACATTTCAGAGTGAGACCAGCTTAAAGCCTAAAAGTGAATAAAAGAGTTCTTGCTGCACTGATTCTAGTTAGCATGTTTTTTTCAGTTCCTCCTAAAGGAGATGTCCAGTCGGCAAGGAATAATCAATAGGTCATTATTTATACCTAAAACTAATACGTTCATGGTGATTTAATTAATTTATTGTTAATGATCTGAGAGTGGTCATTTTTGCACAAATATAGTAACACCTCACTCCTGACATCTTCCAGCAGTGACGGTGCGGTAAGCCTAGCGCCATTCTCCCGCTTTACAAGCAAAATCAATGGGAACTACTAGACACATCTGCAATCAACAATTATTGAAGATTTCCAGAGGACTTCACCATTGAAATTCACCAGAGCTATAGTTAAACTGACAATGCCCACGTGCATGGCAGTTGTATGTTGGAATACATCAGGTAGAAGGGGGAAAAAAAGAAGAAAAATGTATTTCACCTTTCCGATTCATGATCCTTCACGGACTGGTTCGTCTTTGCATTGCCAACTTGAAGAGGGAGAATTTGCCATCAAACTTCTGGCCAGAGAAAAAACTCGTAATATGTAGCCAACATTTGGAAGAAGAATGTTTTCAAGATGACTGGAATAAAAGCGCGTTGTGACAAACACCAAATACAGCACTTGAGACTTGATCAACAGCCGATACTGCATCGCACAAACCAGAAGGTGGCAGTAGTGTTCTTTGACAAACATGGATGCCTCCAGTAAAGCACATTCAAATGAAAATGTATCTTAATAAAAACAATGCTTATCATTTATTGACCAGTATGTACTTTCAGAAGTTTGAATTCTAAATATGACCAGTCTCTTCCTCTAAATGTGCACAACTGGGCGTGCAGGTGGGGCAGCGGTTAGTGCGCACGACCCATGTACGGAGGCCTTAGTCGTCGACACAGTCGACCAGGGTTCGAATCCCGCCTGTGGTCCTTTGCAACATGTCTCTCCCCCACTCTCATTTCTCCTTTCCTGTCAGCCTACTGTCAGAAAAACGAGCCTCTGTTGCCGTTATAAACAAGACAAAAAGTTCTTCTAGAAATAAAACTAGCAGTTTTTCTGTAAGGGCAGAAAACATTCTAAAAGATTTAATAAGTTGCAGTGAAGCATTGGGTCTTTAAAAGCTGTGTAGTTTGTCATTCGGTAGTACAAGCAGCATTAGATGGGATGTTTGAATTGTGAAAATACATCAAACTTCTGGTAGAGATCGATAGTGTCTTTAATGTTTATTCCTAATGGTAATTCTAGTGGCTGAGGCTTGTTAAAACAATGGATCGGATATAAATGGTTGAAAAGAGGCAGGAAAGCAGGAGTAATCGCTTGCATTTTTCAGCAGTGGCATCACAAACAATATTCCTGAGATCATAAAGTCACAGTTGTCATGTTATAGTGGCAAATAAGTCTTTCCTGTGCAGTCCCCTTAAAGGACTCTTTGCTGTTTGCTCTGGAATGAGTGTCACAACTTAAACTTAAGGAGGAGGCCATCTTGACTCCTGTCTCTTCTGCTTCAGGTACAAGTGATTCCCTGGGTGATCTCTGACAGTAACTATGTGCGCTGTCCTGCCCAGCGCCTGGACCCCAGTAAAACTGTGTTTGTCGGTGCTCTGCATGGCATGCTGAACGCTGAGGCGCTGGCCAGCATCATGAACGACTTGTTCGGAGGGGTCATGTATGCTGGCATCGACACGGACAAGCACAAGTACCCCATAGGTAACAGAGTGGGAAATCATCTTTCACTGTTTGTCAGCATGTGAGCTGTTAGCTTTGAACTTCTTGGATCTGCTTCTTGCAGGCTCTGGACGTGTCACCTTCAACAACCAGCGCAGTTATCTGAAGGCCGTGTACGCAGCGTTTGTGGAGATCAAAACGCCAAAGTTTACAAAAAAGGTATGTTAACCAAAATCCTGAATGAAGTGAACAATTTTTAGGTGAAGAATTGGTGAAGTAAACTTTTTGCAAAAGCAGTTAAGTGTAGAGTCTTTGTTTAGGTTCAGATTGACCCCTACCTGGAAGACTCCATGTGTCAAGTTTGCCTTCGTCAGCCTGGACCTTTCTTCTGCAGAGATCAGGTCAGTGAAACCAGCCAGCAGCACTTTCTAGATGGAAGTGATGTGGCCTTTTTAGGGAGGCTTCTCCAACCAGATGTCCTGATTCAAATTGAAATGTCCCGATTTGACTGGTCAAAATATTAAATGGCTGCTTTCCCTTAAATGGAAATGGCAGGGGGGTTTTTTCCCTTAAATTTGTCCATTTACAGTCCTTGGGATCGGACTGTAAATGGTTTTTTGTGTTCCTGCCTCAAGTCCTGGATGCTGCCGTCATTCAAACCGAAGCTCATTGACCTTTCCTGGATTCCCATCACCACTTTCTGCCTAGTATCAAATAAACTAAGTAGATCATAGTTGTAGGAGAGTCCTTATATTTTAAGGTAGTAGAATCCCAGATTAGCTGATCTCAGAGGTTAGTTCTGAGGTCAGGCTAGAGACTGAAGTCTAACTTGATCCAGGTCCCACTTAGTCCTCAAAATCTATCATTGTTTTAACACTAATCGTTAAAATCTTATTTTACAGTGTTTTTCCTTCATGCTGCCTGACCAATAGCACAGTTCTCACAAACAACAAAACTTGCAGCCCAACAACATTGAGAAACGAGCAGCAGCAGCAGAATATTCGTTCTTTTTTGCAGCTGTTGTAGCGATAAAGCCGCCTTTTTTTTTTTTTTACTTGGGATGAAAGTTTAATAGAATTATGTGGTGTGAAAGTAGCATTGGTCTATTTTAGATTTGTAGCATTTGGCCAATATTGGCCACAGGCAAACATAAAACCAGCTGTGAGTCAACATCTGAACTAAAGATGAAAACTAATCAGATTGTCTTAAACCAGGAGTCTCAAACTCAGATCCTTGATGGCTGTTGGCTTTTAGATATGCCACTCTACTTAAAAGCCTGAATCAAATGGCTAAACTACTGTTAAGAGGTGCTCATCCCGGAGGAATGTGTTGAAGCAGAGACTAATCTAAAAGTTGCAGTGAAGCAGTCCTCAGATTAAAGGTAATGTGGAGGATTTTTTTTTAAAAATGCACATGTGAGAGCAATTTCTGCTCGTGCACGCCCTGTTTAAAATGTGCTGTTCTCATGGCTCATACAAGCTTACTGTCCACCTAGTACAGCAGGGACTAAATGGTGGTCTTTATAACAAACTGACTGTTCGGACAGATCACTGCTTTTTGTTCTCTGTTGGTCACGAAACTCCTCCTACTACTTAGTCCCTGCGCCATCTTTATTAGTCACCGCCATCGAGTAACAACTGTCTGTGGCGACAGCAAATCTCATAGTACTTTGCGAGGAGAGCTTTCAGTTTCCCAAATAGTTAAAGTATCAGCTCAGCAATAAACACATTTTGACCTTAAAAATACTTCGCATCGATTGCGGTTCAATCGATGCGAAGTATTGCATAGTAATGACTTTTTTTTTGTGCGTACATGAATTGGACAAATGCAGCTCAGTACATGCATCTTGTCCCCAGGCCTGCTTCAAGTACTACTGTCGCTCCTGCTGGCACTGGCAGCACTCCATGGACATCTTGAGCAACCACCGGCCCCTCATGCGCAACCAGAAGAACAGAGATTCCAGCTAAACCAGCGGTCCTGGCACTCTGTGGAGCTGGAGGAAGAGCACCCCTCTGTGGGGTGCAGCTGCCTGCCGAGGAGAGCACGTGTGCTGGATGTCCTTCAGTAGGAGGGCACCACGACACGCCACCAGGGGATATCACTGTAGGAAACGTTCACTTTTGCACTTGCTACATTTTTGCTGTTCACAGTGGCACTATGCACAGCGACCTTGTTAGGAGTAGACAAGGGGCCCTTCACACTTAAAGCATTTTCTCACACTTGTGGCCACACATGATGATAGAGAGTCAGCCTAAAGTTTAGAAGTGAATGAAAATGCCTCCTTTTTTTTTTTTTTCCCTTTGTTTACATGTATTGCATAGTGAAGAGCAATCACGCAAGTCTCATTGCCATTCACTGGCAAATGCCATACAGTGCCTTTAAATTTTTATTTTTCCCCACTCCTCCCTCCCCTTAGCCCAGTTGGCGTCTGTTTTCCTGTGCAAGCCAACCAGTGTTTCTTACTTTTTGGGAGTTGAATGTTGGGCTTCATTTAACCAGTCGCATTTCAGACATTTTTACGCAGTTTTTTACTAGTTTGTAAACAGATGGTTTTAAGTCATGACATGGAAAATTTTTGAACAATTCTACCAGGTTGCTGTTTAAGGGGAAAACACCCCTTTTAGTTTTTTTTTTTCTCATACATTTTCAGTTTTTTTTTTTTTTTTTATTTGCCCTCCCAAATTTCAGCTGAATGGGCACAAAATGTTGGATGACTAACTTGCTTTGTTGACCCGGTTATTCAATGTATTTCGGTATTACTGGATACGTCTCAACATGTGAGCCATCACTTTTAGAACCTTTGATGGATCCAGTTGCGACTGGAGTGATTTAATTGTAAGTTTCTTTTTTTTTTTTGCACTTTTTAATTTCCACGTGTGGAGAGGTGGCAGTGGTTTTTAATCACTTTTGTACATCAGCAGGGGACATGCCTTATGGTTGAACAGCTGCTTGTTTTCCTGTTGAATGTAAGAACTTCCACTAAGGTGCAAGCTTGGAGGTGGCTCTGTCCAGAGCTTGAGTAGACCCCCCCCCCCCCCTTAAATAAATTGTTCCTTTCTTATTCCATTTTGCCTTCCTGTTCCAGTTGGACAAAGATGCAGAAGCCGTGTGCCAAAGACCATGTGTCTTTACTTTATCCATAAGGTTTGTCACGCTGAGCTTGTCCTTTAGCCCAGCTGCTTTTTAGAGTTTTGAAAGTCTACCTCATTGTGGTCTGCCAAGTTTGCTGCTACTTAACAGTTGTGGAGTATGTTCAGATGGGGCACAATAAAGGTGTTTAAGCATTGCTCATTGTCTGTGTTTTGATTTGTTTTTTGTTTTTTTTTGTTTTAAAAAAGGTGTTTGCACCAGTTTAATTGACACTAGAGGTCCACCACAGTAACATTGCTGTCAGAGGCTGGTATTTGGTTTGAAGTAAAACTATCTTGAATGGATACTCGAAATGAAAAAAGAATAGACGGGTCCTCATCAAAAACAAAGATTTTTTTACTTTACAAAAGATCAATTTAAGCCCTTCCAAATGAAGTGACATTTAAATCCCATATCAAAGAGGTTTCTAGAATTTCCTTTAATCTGCAGAATATTGCAGTAATTAGAAATATCCTGTCCAGGGTGATGCTGAGAAACTAGTCCATGCATTTGTTACTTCAAGGCTGGATTATTGTAATTCTTTACTATCAAGTCGACAAACTGTAGTTAAAAGCTTTCAGCTGATGTAAAATGCTGCAGCCAGAGTTCTGATGAAATTAAAGGGATCATATTGCTCCTATCCTCCCATTCATTTTCTTCCTGTTAAATCCAGAATGGAATTTTTAAATTTCTCTTCGCATATAAAGCCTTAAATGGCCAAGCTCCATCTTGTATCCAAGATCTGATCTGTTGTTTTTTTTTTTCCTAATAGAGAACTTTGCTCTCAATCTGCAGGTTTACTAGTGGTTCCTAGAATTTCTAAAAGTAGAATGGGAGGCAGATCTTTTAGTTATCAGGCTCCTCTCCTGTGAAACCAACTATCAGTTTTAGTCTGTGAGGCAGACACCCTGTCTACTTTAAAGACTAGGCTTAAAACTTTCATTTTTGATAAAGCTTATAGTTAGAAGGGCTCAGGATAACCTGAGCTATCTTTATAGTTGTGCTGTTATAGGCTTAGACTGCTGGAGGACATAGGGACCCCTATTTCGTCATTCTGCTTCATTCTATCTCTATTCTCCCACTCTGCAGAATCTGTTAGTTCAATCTCTAACATTATGCTCTCTCTGCTTTTTCTCATAGTAGCTTCATCTGGTCTGTTCCTTTTTGGCTGTGGCTCCATCCTGGAGAGAAATATCAGCTGCTGCCATCAACACCTTTGTTTATAGATGTTCAAGATCGGCCTGTTTTCCAGTGTTGTCCTGTTTCTGACCGTGACTGGCTGGATGTGCTCTCTTCATCCTGTGACATGGGAGCTGGCTCATCTGCCTGCCTGGCTGTGTGTTTCCTGGACGGGGCCGCCTTTTACAGTTGCTTTTTGTATCACTGCTTCTGTTTCCTTAAACCCCAGTCAGTCTCGGCAGATGGCCGCTCACACTGAGCCTGGTTCTGCTGGAGGTTTCTTCCTGATAAAGGAGTTTTTCCTCTCACTGTCGCTACAAGCATGCTTAGTGTGAGGGATTGCCTTGGAGTCAAGAGTCAATGTAATAAACTGGTTTTCCTTGGATAGAAAACTGAATCAATTTGACTGTATGATCTAGTGAACTGTAAACTCCTGTGAGATGATGTGTTCTGAATTGGTGCTATAGAAATAAACTGAATTGAATTCCATTGACCTTAAATGTCTTTAATACTAAAATGTTTCAAGTTTGTGCGTCTATAAAAACTACTCCATTAAGCTAAGGAATCCTAAAACCTAACACTTGTCAAAGTTAACCATTTTTCAGTAACTTGGATATAAATGCCATTTTACAAAAACAAGACAAAATCATGAGGTCCAATACGGTCTGCATGGTCCACCTGTGTAACTGCCTCATAGAGGCAAGCCAAGTTTATTTGTATAGCACAATTCAAAGTGCTTTACATTAATTGGATAATGTAATGGAAGGAAAAAACTGTTGGACCTTAAACTAATAACAGTCCAACTTCAGTTAAAGGGAGCTCTAAACAAATGGGTTTTTAACTTTGACTTAAAATAACTTTTAGAAAAGAGTTTATTCCATATAAGTGGAGTATAGGAACTAAATGCTGCTTCTCCAGGTTTGGTTCTAGTTCTGGGTGGGCTGGAGCTAGAAGACCTGAGTGGTCTGGGAGGTTGATTCACTGACAACAGATCTGTTATGTATTGAGGTGCTGATTTATAGACTAACAGGATTTTATAGTCTATTCTCTGAGCTACAGAGCGCCAGTGGATGAGCTGCAGCTGTCTGGACTTTTCACGCAAACCTATGAAGACACTGTTGCAGTGATCAGTTCTACTAAAGCAAAAGTGTAAGAATGAGCTTTCATAGATCCTGCTTGGACATTAGTCCTTTAATTATTCTTCAGCTGATTAAAGATTGATTTTAGTATTTGCCTTTAGGTGCCTCTGAAGTTTTAAGTCCATCGCACCAAGATTTCAGCCATAATCCACTCAGAGCTACAGCAGCTAGAAGCCACTAACTCTAGATCTCTCCTTTGGTCTGAAGATGTTTTTATTCTGTTGTAGAAAATGATGGTACATCCACATATTGATCTGTTCTAAGCATCTAACCAACACGATGGTTTTATAGGAGGTAAAGCTGTGTGTATCTGCATAGTTATGCAAACTGGTCTGATTGCTATAATCTGAGATAAAAGGAGCAGGTAGATGTTGAATAGGAGGAACACTGAATGTGATGTTTCTGGTCTCTGATTTAAAGTTCCCTAAAATAACATAGGTGGGATTTAAACCAGCCCAGTGCTGTACCAGAATGGTTGACCCGGTTTTTCCAGACACACTAAAATAGTGATCAACCGTATCAAATGTTGCAGAGGTTCTTCCAGAGTCTGAGATGTTATTGAAGGCCTTATAGGGCAGTCTCTGTACTGTGGTTGGCATAGAAACCTGACTGGAAGATATCAAAATAGCTGGTCATTGATAAGAAGGCATTTTACTGTTAAGACCCAACTTTTTCAGTGATCAGAAGCGTGGCTGCAAACAGCCACTGATTTACTGAATTAACATGAGGGACCCATAATCTTCATCCTCATCTGCTACCAGATTTCCCCTAAATAGATACATTGATCCGCTATAATTCAGAGATTAATCCTGTAATATTTTCATGCTCACAACAGTCTGTGGCAAGCTGTTTTGATATGTACTAGTTTTTTCAAAAAAAAAAAAATGTTCTTTGAACATTTCAAACAAAATTACATTCTCTACATCTAGAATAAATATTCTGAAAGTCTGTAAATTATTTCAGATCTCCATATTACTAATATTACTGGTCAGCATTTGTATTATTTTAACTTAAAAAAAATTTATTCCAGATATAAATACATTTACAGTCAAACTGATAAATGTCAGAAAGGCCAATTAAAATCTAACATTTCTAGATGTATAAAACTTAATTCTCACTAGTATAATTTAGTTTTTTACTTTCTAAAATTCAGTTTCTGCTACAGAAAGTTAATTTAGAAAATATATTTACAGGTTAGGTCTAGGAGTTTGATTTTGATGATGAAGAAATTTATTTTAGTGATCTACAAATGAAACAATTGAGAGGAGAGTGCTTTTAATAAATGTAAAAATGGCCTACCATAGCACACTTCATATAAACCTATGCATTAACTCGAGCAATCTTCAACATCCTCCTTCCTTTTTTAAACACATTTTAAATTTTTTTTTTTTTTGCATTTCTGCAATAAAATGCAGTGGGGTGAAATAGGCCCTTCCTGTTATCATGGTGACTCGTCTGGCTTTTCATACTTGTTGCCCTGGTGTTCAACTCTGAGTGGACCTAGTTAAAATTTATTGAATTAATAGCAGCAGTTGTGAAATCAATCACTCAGAGTTCCCAACTTTAGGCTGGATCAATTTAGGGTTGTGGATTTTAATCCAAATTAGTTAAACCTGCTTCATGAAATGGACCCCAGATAGTCAAAAGATTTAATTCAATTCAGTTTATTTCTATAGCGTCATTTCGAGGCACAGTTCCCCAGTTCATCCAATCAAATTGATTCAAAGTTTTCTATCTAAGGAAAACCAGTTGATTGCATCGACTCATTGACTCGAAACCAATCCCTCACACTAAGCATGCTTGTAGCGACAGTGGAGAGGAAAAACTCCCTTTATACAGGAAGAAACCTCCAGCAGAACCAGGCTCAGTGTGAGCGGCCATCTGGGGTTCAAGGAGACGGAAGCAGAGATACAAAAGGCAGCTGTGGACCACAATAAAGCTGCACCTTCAGAGTGGCCTTTTATCGTGGGCAGTCTGAGGCACACTTGTGCAGTAATCATGGTGTCTATTCAGCATCTTAATATGGCACACCTTTGCGGTGAGATGGAATGACTGATCTCTATTTATTCACTGGATTGCTGATATCCCGCTGGTAGAACGGGGTTGAAGTGAAGCCACTGGCCGCCATATTGGTACACCCTAGACCAGTCGTGATATAAACAATAGTAGCCTACAGCATCGAACAACGATGATGTTCTAATTTTCAGAGGGACTTAAGACTTTTAAAATAAAGATAAATTCATCCGTTTGACAGACACTGTTTCATAGGATCAGTAGATTACTTTAACTTGTAATAAAAAAAATTAGCCATGAGTTATATGCACATCACATTGCATAGTCAGTAGTGTATAAATCATGTAATATGACTAACCAAATTTCCTTCACTACAGCTGATAAAATGTAAACATAAGACTGGTATGATTTACAGATTCCAAAATTCTTTTTTTTTTTTTTTTAAAGCCCCATTTTATATTTATTATTCAGCGGTCTAATGGTGGTGGGGAGAAGCTTTTCTGGAATCTGTTGGACCTGCAGTAACATTTACCATGATGGTTTGCTAGAACAGGTAGAGATTAGGGCTGAAACAATAATCTGATTAATCGATTATTGAAATAATCAAATAAATTAGTGATCGATCAATCGTTAACTGGAGTATAGAGACTCTAAATCAAGCCTTCAGCTGACAGAGCGACCGATAGGGCAGTAATTATTTAGATTGTTGCCCTTCACATATTGACTTATTGGGCCGTTTTTTTCATGAAGGAAACGCAGTTTTTTAAATGAAAGAAAAAAAATCATATTGATTTGATACAACTGAATGAGCTTAATT